CAAAGATACATTGCAGATTGCAGGTACTGCCATATCAATAAGGAGGCAATTGTTTTGTTTGCGGTCTTTAATAACAATGTCTGGCCGGTTAGCTTTGATCGTTCTATCTGTGTGTATTATGTAGTCCCATGAAATTTCTACAGTTCCTATTATTATTTTTATTATTATTATTATTATTATTATTGCGTTTTCCTTTACTTTGTGTAGTGTGTGTTGTCCACAAGTTTGAATTAAAGATTTCAAGATAACTTTTCTTTTCTTTACAATGTATCAAAATAGAGGTGCGATGAAGACACAATGAGAAAAACATAACAGAGACTGCAGTTACGGCATGGAGAGAAATCTACCCAAGTTGTGCGAAGACCCATGAGTATGACTTTTGTAAATCAACTATTTTAGGACTACTGTGTATTTGATCCAGAATTTCATGGACTCCTTCTTATATTACAGTTTTTAGTATTGTTGAAATGATCGCTAACATTTATTGCCGAAATTTACAAACACTGCGTTTCTTTTAATTTCGCAAATCAATCGATGAAATTTGAATACGCGGATTTGTTCGGAAAAGTACTTTAAAAAAAAACATCTTCGCGGTCCAATAATTTATTTAATTTAAGTTTATAGGATTTATGGCAAGCAATAATTATAGATTTTTATATATTAAGAAAATTTTATTTTCGAAGTGAATAATAAATTCTTAGAATTTCTTACTCTTGAGCATGCGATATACAACTGACCATGCATAAATATTTTTTTCTGGGGCCATATTCCAACCTTTTGAATCGTTTTCCTCTGATTTGTTTATAGTTCTCGCAAACTCAATGCAGACTGGAAACTGGATTCTTGTATATATAAAAACTTTAAAAAAAGTTATACAAAATCAATATTGCATTTTTATTAAATAAATATTTATTATTTTAATCATTAAATTGTTTTTAAAATAGAAGAGTATTTTGTATGTTATATAATAAAACTTTTAACTTTTCAATAATGAAAATGTATTGTACTAAACTAATCACCCTTTTAAAACAAAATGAACACTGTATCCTTTTATCTGTTTGCACTTCTGCCCAAAATCTGGTTTCGATCGGTCAATCTATGGCTATTTTACTGGGTGTGACAGACGGATTAACGGAATTATATACGTAGATTCCAAACGCCCCCGGAACAACATAATGTTGTTGACTTGAGATGCCACATACAAATGATGTCTATCTCGAGGTCCTTGTATTGCTTTAATCCCCCCCCCCATAATTTCAAAGGTGTGATTATGTCGGCTGGAGCTGCAACATCTATGAGAATTCATGGTTGCAACATTAGTTTTCAAAATTATGTTTGTTCACTTTGCCTGGATTTCCTTGTCAGTCTGAACGCTTAAATTCTAAAGAAGGTTAACCTCTACATTCTAGGTTAAAATGAGTGTCTTCCAGCTATTTTTGGGTTTAAATTTGAATATCTAAGGATCGTTGTCTCTGATAGAATAATTGATATGCAGAATGTTTTTTCTCTCATTTCTCGCAAGTATTTTTAAGGTCGATTCCTTTTCTTGGATCTTTTTTTATTTAATTTGCTTTTCAGTTGTGTACGCATTTTCCTTGGGTCCTGGTTTGTTTTTCTCCATTTCCCGAATATATTTTATGGAGTCATTTCCTCTGAGAAATGCACTTTATTTGTTATCATCTTGTTTCAGAACCAATCTTTACATGCAGACGTTTGTTTGCTGTAAGTAGAAAAGAAAAAAAACGAGATCTGGTCGCAGTTGTAATTAATCCACGACCGCATTCCCTTCTCGAAATGTAAAATTAGTCACTGTCGTTGGGTGGTTCATGCAATGCATTGTGAGAAGTTCTCATATTTTACCATCAACTTTGTTTTAGTCGGAAATGGACCAGCTTAATAATACTGAAGCTTCATGTGATTAAAGGCACGGCTAGTTATTTTATAGCTTCAATTTTCTTTCTGGCATTCAATTTAAAGGATCGCTCTTACACATTTCGAAAATGTTATCTCATATACAGGTAAGCCTCTTACAGAATGTAGTATAGGGGACCGATTAAGGAAATTTGAAAAGAAATATTAATAATAATAATAATAATAATAATAATAATAATAATTGTTACTCCAGAGTATTAGCTAATAAAGGAGGTTTGTTGTAGTGATCCTCATAAAATTGTTGCTTTAGCACATTTATACAAACCGAATTCCATTCCAGTTTCATCCCTTTTACAGTTTTCAGGAGACTTTCCAGCTCTCTGTTATTCGTAGAATACAGCTTAAATCATCCATGTAAAATAAATGGCTTATTTTCATTTGAGAAATCTATCCAGGCAGTACTGAGATTGAACTTCGTATTCAAGCAGTTTTCCAAGATAATCATATTATTAAGTAATTAGTCTTTACATCCATAAGACCCATGTTTGCACCCTTTTTGTATGTCATTGTTTTCTAAGAAGGAATATGTTTTGTCAGAATAGATGACAACAGATTGAAAGTAGCGGGAAGACATGTAATTGGTCTGTAGTTTTTGGGACGTTTGTATCACAATTTAAAGTAATTCCTTTGGTTGCCCTTACCGGAATTTTAGTAGGATTATTGACTATTTCTTGAAGTTCTTTGGCTAGTTTTTTTGTGTGCTATATTTAGATAATAGAGCCAAAAGTTAGGAATTTTATCTATTCGCGCAGATTTCCAGTTCTGTGCACATTCAACATCCACTTCTGTGACTACCGTCCATGTTTGTTCTGGTTTATTTTTCATTCGTTCTAGCTCTTGAGTAATCCAATCTGCTTCTTTGTTATGTTTTTTAGGGCAAGTCGATATTTTTCCCAGAATTGTATAACCGCTTCTCTTCTTGGAATGGTGTTGGATCTGTCACTTCAAGTTTTTGTTTGTCTTTTTCTCTGTAAAAAAATCACATCATTTTGAAAGATCTTGTACTGTCTGTTCTTGATCTTTTTTATAGCGTCTGATTCTTTCAGCATTCGGTTGTATTGTTTGCTTTATTTTTTTAGCTGATAGTACTTCATTTTTATTCTTAATTTTGTATTTTCTTTTGACTTTTCTGCATTTTATAGTCCTTACATTTGTTCCTTTTGCCAGTACATCGAATACTGATAATTTACTTCTATGTTGTTCAATTCCATTATGTTTCTTTTCTAATTTGGATCTTCCTGTCTGTGAGACTGACTTTTTGACTTTGATATTTAATGTTTTAGTTGCTGCTTTTGCTGATGTATATATTGCTTCGTTCAGACATATATGTGGGTCATCCAGAATTAATTTGACTGCTGCATTGTAGCTTTTAATAGTCTTGAGGTTCTGCTTTGTTGGTTGTAATTTTGGGTGTATTTCTCGTTCCTCAATTGCAATATTTTGTGTCTGACATATGCCTCATGATTTTATTGGCATCTCGTGTACTATTCTTGTTTTCGTTTCAATGTGTTTTGCACTCGCCTTTTCAACTCTTCCATCATTCGGGATTGTGTGAGCCGAATTTGGGGCCATCATTCCGATCGCCTGAGCCTGAAAATTCATCATATTGTTCTTATGGGAGATTTTCGACCTCATGTAGCTAGCAGGATTCCTGTGTACCCGATTCTAGTGCCATATTGGACATTTTGTTTTGAATTTTAGTTCTCATATTGTTCCCACTAGTGACGCACAAGTCCAGAAGTCCACCCAAAGTTGCCCTGCACATTGGGTAACGATCGTTTATAGACATAGTACCGAAGCCTTTTAGTTCACAGGCCATATATCAACCTAATTTTATCGAAGTCATGGTTTAAGAACTTATAAATATCATTTTCATAATTTTCTTTTTGTTTGATTGTAAAAGAGTGCATTCTGAAAATGTTCATGCATAAAGAATATGTTTTTCTTTTGCAAAACATTGAACAAGAGATAGAGGGGTCTGTTAAAGAAGTCATACTGTCTTGTAAATGCACACAATTTATAAATTAACAAGAAAACCCTTCTATTATTTTTTATCATTTATTTTAAATATATTCCTGAACATGGCATCTTTTTCCTTTAAAGTGAATTTATATCAAATGGCAACTCCTGAGAAGCAGCCAATTTCTGTGCTTATGTGTGAGCCTTGACCGCAACTTATTTTTATTGATGCACCTTACAGAGAACACCTTTTCCCAAAGGTAGGTCGTCCTGAATATGTAGAAAACAAGTCTGACAATTTGGGGTACTTTGGCAAGAGATATTGATAAAATATGACCAAGCCCACTGAGATACATTTCTTCTTTATGTCTGAATCACACTGCAAGTCAATCATTTCAAGTTGGATTTTGACTGGCAGATCAGAGGAGATGGCTGTAAAAGGCATGCAAAAAACTTTGGAATTTGTTTCTTCATCAAAAATCTAAAACTGTTCCTAAAACACTTGCAGCAATTCCGTGTTATTGTTTTTTGTACCGATTCCTGTTAATATTATCTGCGGTCGCAACCACATCTTTTAGACAAGAAAAATGAGCAGTGTCTCCATCTGACAGTTTTATCTCCCATAAAGTTAGCTTCAACTTGTACGCGCGTATGCTTTCAAAATACGGTGTGACAACCTTTTTATGTCCTTGCATCATTTTGTTCAGATTATTCAAGTGCGCTGTAATATTCACGATAAATGCTGAATCTTGCTGCCATTCAGGTGATTGAAATTTTAACACTGGTTTGCAACTTTTCTCTATGAACTGTCCAATTTCTTCTCGTAGATTAAAGGAACGCTTCAACAAAGTACCCCTGCGTAACCACCTTAGCTCGGTGTCTTATGGCAAGCCATAGGTTACTCCTGTATCGCTGGGAATATTGTTAAACTGACGGTTATGCAGACCTCTAGTTCGGATGAATTTAAATGTTCAGAGAGCAACTTCATTATCGTGATCCATTTTAACGACTTGGAACAATGCATCCAGGTGCAAAATACAGTGATATATGTCAAAATCACGACCTCTATTTGCAGTTGAACTTAGTCACAAAATCTGCCTTTTTCCCAGTCATTGATGGAGTGCCATCTGTAGCCCCCAAACTGACAGCACGGGTTCCAGTCCACCCCGACTCTGTCCAGCGCTACAACGAGAGAGATGAAAAATGTTATTTGTTGTCAATATCTCGTCTGCACAACGGTGGAATATGGCCAGTTGAGCAACCTCCGTAATGTTCATGCTTTCATTAATTGCAACCGAAAATGCAATAATGGACTTGACTTTGTGCTTCAGTTGCCTGTCTAAATCTGCAGAAAGGTCTGAAATCGTCTCTGCCACAGTGTTTCTCGTCAGAAAAAAGTAGGTCAAAATTTGTCGCTTCTCAGAGCATACAATTTCTGCAGACTTCAGTATACATGTTTTCCTTCGCAGAACGGTTTTGAAGCTAATGCTCCTGCAACAGGATAGATAGCTTTTATTGCTGCCTGACTGACATTTCGGCTTTGGG